TAGTCCAGCCCTCTTCTCAAGGCAGGATCATCCCTGACGAAACCATTCCAGCCAATGGTCTGTCTAACCTGCTCTTGAAGATTTCCAAGGATGGAGGGTTCCACAGCTTCTCTAGAAAGCCTGTTCCAATGCTTGACCACCCTTATAGTCAAAAAGTTCTCTCTAACTTCCAGCTTCAGTATCCCCTGCTGCAGCTTGAAGCCATTGCTCCTAGTCCTGCTCCCTACAGCCAGAGAAGACTCTATCTCTATCACCCTTCAGGAACTTTGAAGACTGTTATTGGATCCCTTCCCTGAGTCTTCTCTTTTCCAAACTAAGTAGTCATAATTCTTTCAGACTTCCTTCATAAGTCATACTTCCCAGGCCTCTAATAATTTTTGTTATTCTCAGCTGGACTGTTTCCAACCTGTCCACATCCTTCTTGAAGTGTGGGACCCAAAATTGGACACAGTATTCCAGGTGGGGTCTCACCAGTGACAAAGTGGAAGAATCATTTCTCCTGGTTTGCAAGACAGCTCCTGTTAATACAATCCAACATGCTATTGACCATTTTTTGTGCAACATGAGCACCCTGTTAATTCATATTCAACTTCTGGTCCACTACAATCCCCAGGTCCTTCTCTGCAGTACTGCAGCCTAGCCAGTCATTTCCCAGTCTGTAATAATTGCATGCACAAATACAGGCTGGGGAATGAGTAGCTAGGCTGCAATACTGCAGAGAAGAATCTGAAGGTTACAGTGGACCAGAAGCTGAACATGAGCCAACTGTGCTCCTGTTGCCAAAAAAAAAAAGTAAGTAATGATCATAAACACCTCTTTTAAAGATCTGCATATTTCCTTTCCAAACCTTTTAATGCAGTGTTTCTGCACAAGCACACAATGACAAGCTTCCAGGGGGACAGCAACAGAACCCCAAGCCCACATCATCCCCTTACCTCCCATGGTCTCTGTTCAGCTCTGCTCCATGCCACAACTGGGGGAGAAGGAGGCAGGCATGTGCATCGCCTTCCAATTTGGAAAAGGTGGTTACCCTAGGACACTCATAATCAAACTAGCCACTCCAAATATTGACTCGCTATACATGACAATGGTAGGTTCTCTTGGCTGAGACTTCATTGGGGATCTGGAGGAGGATATAAGAGAGCAGCCCTCCTTGCAGAGCCTAGATAGCTGGAGGGGAATAGTGGCCAGTGGCCCCAGTCAGGTTGCAAACTGCAGTCTACCATTAGCAAGAAGTTGCCCATCTTAATTTAGACTATAATCTTTTTAGCATTGGATGTACATGTGCTATGTATATACTAGTGCCTGGCAAATTGGCTTGTCCTTTTCTTGGATCTCCTTTATAACTATTCTGCCACAAACTCAGTACATGGGTCTTACCATCATGAAAACAAAAAATGTATCTTTCAAAAGAAATGTCTTGTAATACTACTGTACAAACAATGACTTTTTTTTAATGATTAAAATCTGTATTTTAGATCTATTTTGTATCTTAAAGCATCAGACTAGGCATCTTGAGTTGAGCAGAGAAATCAGTTACTGGGGTTATCAAGTAATTATAACCAGTTTTTACTAACTAGCATTTACTGACCAAGTTTGAGCAAAGGAAATCCAAGTAACTTCTGGTCATCAAACTTTTTTTTGATACGAGACAATGGGTTAAATAAGGTTTATTAAACCTGAAGACATTTACCCAAGTAAATTCTATGCATCATTTTTGTGTAGTCAGAACAACATCTAAATATTGTCCCTGCTAGGATGACACCATTATTTTGAATAAGTTGACTTGTTATATTTCTGCCTGCCCCCCCCCCAACTGATTTATGTATGCATGCCAGTTTAGTTTAACGTATGGATGAGATCAAAGATCCATTGTTAGATGAAATCATCCAAGATGATTACATTACCTAGCAGTCATTTAGAGCTGATAATCAGAGTTGTGTTCTTTAGGTTTCATTTCATAAAGTTGTTGGAAATAGGAGGTGAAGAGTCCAGTTTCTAATGCAACTAGTGCAACTAAGATTTAAACACAATAGGTACTTTTGAAGTCCGTAGTCAAGCTGTCACTGACATTAGCAGAAACATAACTTCACTCAAGGCTTTTAGAGTTACAATTCCTGCAGCACACTAATTGAGATGTACTTAAAATAATCTAATTTCAGGAAATTAATCCTTAGCTTCAGGCTGCAGTTTTCACCTCTTAAATGCTATATGCTGTTTCCTAAATGCTGTTAAAGGTCTTAAATGCTGTTTTACTTTTTATGGGCAGATTGAGAGTATTACAGATTGTCAATTATTTTTGTAATTGGTGTGTTTTGCACTCCTGGAAAAAGAGCTAAAGTATGCAGATCTCCTCATTCCTATAAATGAAAAAGATTTCATATTCTAAATATTCCTAATTCCTTTTTAGGAAGGAGTTCTTTTGTTGTGCAGTCTGTATCCCACAGGAAATATTTGGCATATTTGCAAGCTCTTGGGAGAGAAGAATAAAGTTGATAAATTATGATCATTGCTACTGAAAGAGAAATTGTGCAAAGACATTCTCTGTAGATGTATGCCATCTGATACAACACTTCTGGCAAAGGGAGTGTATCCATAAACTTAAGTGTTTTTTACCTTTGGTTCTGGATGAGTGGTACAGATGTCATCATAACAGATTCTATAACATTTTTTTTATTAGTGGGCTATTCTGAAATTGTGTAGAATCTTTTTTCTTTTTTTTTTTTTAAAGTGACCTCTGGACTGTAATTACTGTGTTTGTTTGTTTTTTAAAGCTTACTAGATCCACCACACTGACTTTTTTCAGCCTTAATTTAGCTAGGACTTACTGAATAACATCAACAAAGATCACTTTAAGTAACTAGAACCCTCACTGACTACTGGTCACTCTGCTCGAGTTTAACAGAATTCTAAAGGTGGAAAGGATCTTGATTCATGTAGGCCAATCCCTCCTACAGAGGCAGGATTCACTGTACCTAAGTGGACAGCAAAAACATTCTAATATTGATTTCTGGGTGTAAATGTTCTGCTTTTTATAAATCTTTCTGTTCCTCTAGGAACAGGTTAGACTGTGGTGCTGCTCTTTTGTGATAGATCTATGCCAATTTAGGGATGGGGAGATAGTTTGTGCGCCAAGGACAAACCCCAGATGTCTTCACACTTGCCTTTGGCATTTTGCATGTCATGACTGCAAATCACGAACCATCTCAACCTTTTTAGATTATTACTTCTTTCTCTGTGAAATAGGTTAAGTGTAGGCAGTTAGAATTTACATCAAGAACTAACTTTCAAGGATCCCTGCTATCTTTAAAGAGTCTCTAGATTGCTTATTTACTGACGAGACTGCTACATTATTACTAACAGGCAAACCCAATTATCCAGTATCTTCTATGTTAAAGAGAAAAAGTTTTTCATATCCAGCTTTATAGAGTACTTCATGCCAAGACAATGACCAACTTGTCAAATAAACTCTTTGTATTTCCGAAACTTTTTCCTAGTGGCAGCATAGGCTTTCTTTTTCACTATTTGGCCTGGAGCTTGAACAGAGAGAGCTGTGTTTCAGATTCCTAGATTTGTTTTAGATTCCACCCTCCCCTCCCATAAATCACTGACAACTTCCCTGCTGTCCATCATGCTCTCTGTTGGAGGTGGATGGGGGAGAACACAGCACCATAGGATACCGGGGAAATTACACCACTTTTAGCTCTGTGATATATTGTACAGAGAGAGAGAGAGAGAGAGAGAGAGAGAGAGATCGAGAGAGAGATCTGTACAATACACCATAGAGCTACAAGGGATGTCATTTCCCCAGGACCAGATAGATATAGATAGCTGTCCAAACAAGATACTGTTTTCATCCAGGAACATTTTTGTAGTCCTACCCCTATTTTTCTGTGCTGTAGGGGGCACGAACATCTGTCTGCTCCACTTTTGCAGTGGTACAAATGTCTGTCCGTGGCACAGGTCCTGTCAGTTTCAGGCTGCAATTGGAGGCAAAAGGTGCTCTGAGAAATGAGGTAAAGAGCCATTATGAGGCATGAGAAGGTTAAGACCAAGGTGTTCCTGTAGTCTAGGGCTTTCCAGCTTCTAGATGGCTGAGGGTGGCAGTGCCCTCAGCTTTAGGTTGTTTGGGCCACACACCCCTGCAGTGCCTGTATTGTGGGCCACATGCTACACTGCAAGCATTGCCTACTCCTGCACTGTGGGTGTCTGTGCCCCCCTGCTGTACTACCCCAGTGTGCCTGCACTCCATACACCACACCACGTGGGCTCTTTTTGCCAAATTGTGCAATGGGTGCTATGCTGTACTGTGTGGTGTACTGCATGGAGTTCCTTGGTATGTCATCCGCTTCCCCCCCCCGCCCAGCCCCCTCAAGACGCCCGGCCACAGGTTCCCTCAGCTAGAGAAGGGCAAAAGCCAGAAGAGGGAGGTCCAGAGACCAGGGGTAGTATCTGCTGGGGTGATAAGGGGAGTGGCATCCAGACCAGAAGCCTAGGGTCACTTGCACCCATGGGCTGCCAGTTCTACAGTCCTGCTGTAGTCGGTGAATACTTTTTTATTATAAATTTGAGTGAGTGCATACTCAAGGTAAGTGTATGGCTCTTTTTAATCCCTAGGCCAGTGGTACTAGTGGTCTTAAGCTCAAGGCAACCCTCCATAACTTTTTTTCTGAATTTAGTGGTACTCCATTTCAAAAAAATATTTATTACAGTACAGAAAAAATATGACTGAAAACACATATTTTTAAACAAGACGACAGCAGCTTAGAATGCTTTTGATGCTATCTATTCATATATGAAATCTCTTTACCTTGTGAATTAAGTACGAGTGTTTGCACACCTAACTGATAATACTGTGTGTCACCCATGGTATCCTTAAAGGATCTTGTGTCACTCCAGGATGCCACAGCACCCCAACTGAGAGTCCCTGTCCTAGGCTATGCATTTAAACGACTGACTTCTTGTGTGCTGAAACTGAAGCTGTGAATGTTTTCTTGCAGAGGTGAATCAGGTGCTGGGAAGACAGAAAATACCAAGAAAGTTATTCAGTACCTTGCTCACGTTGCTTCCTCCCATAAAGGAAGAAAGGACCATAATATTCCTGTAAGTTTGTGTTTGTTCATGGTCCTGATGGTGTTTTGTTTCTAAATCTCTTTTTAATCCTACCTTTTTATTGCAAAAGTATTCTTTGCCAGTCTTCTAAAATACTAAACTGATAATTAATTAATATTAGCTTATCATTTAACTAGCTGTAGTTTATCAAAATAACCATAGCAAGTGCTTGGTTTTTATTCTTTTAAAAACTAAGACAAATAATTTGAAAAAAAGTGTGCTGATTTTGTAGGATTAAAAACAGATGTCTGCCAACTTTGATGTAAAAAATTAAAACTAATGAAAGAAAATAAGCAGTTACATATCATTTTGTTAACCTGTTTTGACACTTTAAATAAATTTTGTGGGGAGTAAA